AAAAAAACAAGAAATACCTTTTCGAAATAAACTTCAATCCACGACGATCCATCGTTCAACGCAAAATTGAATTGAAATAACTTAAAAGTTTGCATGCAGCATAGTCAGTCAGTTCTGTTCGGCTTTTCCTTTCCTTTTCAACTTATAAATACTTCACTTTACACACACACGCACACAAACAGTGAGCAACAAATTGAACAGAGCAAGAGATACCAAGGTGGACAGAGAGAAACAACAAAAGTGTGTAACTCAAATGTACGAACAAAAATGCTGAAATTAGCACTATGTATTAACGCAGCTAAATTTTTTCGTGCGTATTTTCTTGTTTGTGAGTTTTTTTTATTATAATTTGAGTGCGTCTATATTTTTTTGTGTTAATAAACAAATAGGTCAAGCACCTGTATGCGGGAGCTTAGGGACCCTTGTTGCTGCTATACAAACAGGCCACAGTTATGTATGTATGCGTACGGAAAGAAACGCCAATGCAAGGTAGTCTCCAAAAAAAAGTGGCTTCCACAAAATTTCGTCAGAGTTCAAACACTTTAAACAATTTTTTGTATACACTACACGCTACACAATAAATACTTTGCGCTGGTGGCGCTTATACGAATATACATTTATATTGTGTTAATATGCTAATGCATTCCGTAGCTTCGTTTTTTTTTTCTTCTTTAACTACTCGAATAAATAATTCACTTTAATTTTTATGCAGACGGCGACACTCCCCCGGCCATACACTACAGCACTGCATGGGGCTTGCTAACATTGAGATTTTCATATTGGCGGCGCACACCAACAACTGAGAGCGGCGGCTAGACTGGCTGCTTTTTGTTTGTGTAGTTGTTGCTCGAGTAGGCTGGCTGGCTGGCTGGCTCTCGCTCTCTCGTTAAATAAGTAAAAAGTGCATAAAACTGAGGCGGTTTTTTTTTTGCTTGCTAGCCTTTTTCACATTGAGAGAGCACACACACACACACGAGCGGCAATAAAATATTGCAAACGGAACGAAAATGCGACTAAACTCGACGACGTACAGACTTCAACTAAACCAACTGACACGGCAACTCTGCTGGTCTGCTGCCTGCAGCACTACGTCCAAAGAGCAACAGCAGCCGCATATACATACATTTTTCCAACAATAACAACATCGCCATTAAGAAAAACAAAAACAAACGTAATTCAGCCTACAACAACTGAGCAGCCAGCGGGCAAAGGCGATGGCAGCCAGACAATGGAGCAACAACAACACAATGTACGGTTAGAAAAAAAAATGAAGTACAAAAAACAACAAGAACAAAATTGCGCTTGTGCTAAGAAAAATTGGCTTACCAGCTTTGCTGGGCCAACGTGTATGCGTGCGAGTAGCATAGCTATAAGCATACGCGCGCGCTATATGCATCTCGTTCGCGCGCACACAGCCAGCATAGGCGAGTAAAACATTTTTTGGGGTGATTGTAATCTGCCGCTACACACAGGCAAAAGCAGCCGCCGCCACCGCGCACAGCAGAAACAAAAGGCAGAAGTAGGCAAGCGAAAGAAAAAATGTCATAAAATACATCTGGCGAATTTGTTATGCCCGCCACCGTGCCTGTCCCCTTCCATTCCCACACACACACACACAAGGCAAAGGCCTGCCAACATCTGCTTTGTTGCTGTTACTTTATGCTCTATGTATATATTGTGCGATCGCTGTTACCCTCTTCTTTATTAACGAAGAATGCTTGCTTTCAATTAACACAATGACGGCCAAAGCAGGCAGGCAGGCAGACAAGCAGCAAGCCAGTTCGAGCAAGCAAAGAGACAACAGCAACGACCCGCGCGCGTTCTTCATTTTTCTTGCTTCGCTCCTGCCCGCTGTGCCCTGCTTCAGTGCTGAGCATGCCAACCGCGTTCAAAATTTTCGTATTCGTTAGTGTTTGAGTATGCGTGTGTTGTTGTTGGCGCATATATGAACGCGTGTGCAGCTGTGTGCGCGTTGGGGTTCATGGTGTGCTACCTACCTGCTAAAGTAATTTATTTTTATGTCGTTTTTGTTGCTGCTTTTCAACAGCACGAACGAACGAATGTTCGAATCACAAAATAATTCCATCCATGCGCAAAGCAATTCAATGTGCTCGGACAACGAAACGAAAAAAAATATATGTATTGTGTATAGGTTTGAAAAATGCGGCTAAAACAACAAATAATGACTATCGAGCAGTAATTTGTCTTCCTCCCCTTTACACTTTTGGCGCTGCCGTTGCGTGTAGGTCTTCTTCCTTACGAATTTCATACGTTCACAAGCATACCACCAGCATATCTTTGGTTGAAAATCAACAAACTTGTTGTTTTTGCTGTTGTCTTCGTCTACGTTGCTAATACTTTGCGTCCGCACAACGACTGGTTTTTATTTAAAAAAAATGTTTGACGACTTTTGGTTTGCTCGCAAATGAACGATTTCGAGTTCCCATTGAAATGTTTCGAGCAAATAAGTGTAGATATTGAGCGAGCGTGCTGATAGTGGCAGCAGCAACCCCATTCCATTTTTGAATGTTACATTCGTTCTTAGATATTGTAGTTGTTTTTGTATTAGATCCATACTTCATTTCGTTTTTAATGGATTTCTGGTTGTACGTTTTTCTTTTGTTTTTTTGCTCTTCGCTTTGTTGGACTCGAATTGACTTGCTGGCGGCGTGCATATTTTTGGCCGAGCGAGTGCGCATATTGCGTTCCGCGATCCTCAACGTCGCCGTCGTCGTCGACTTTCTGTCATTGCCGCCATGTTATTTTTACTTTTCATTTAATTGCATATTGTTTGTTGTATGTACGCGCCGTTGTCGTTACAATGTCGTTACTGCCTTCGCTGTTGTTGTTGTTGTGGTTGTTGTCGTTTTAGTTGCTGTAATTGTTTTTGCGTCGCTGGCGTAGATTTCTTCATTTTTATTTTAATCTTTCACACCCTGTTGGCTAGTGGCTGCTGGCGCTTTTCGGTAACACAGTCACAACTGCCGCTCCCGCCACCGCCATCGAGCTACACTTTGCCTATTAGCTAATGCGCTTATGCGCTTTTATCACTCTTTAGATTAGGCATACATACATACATACTATTTAGTACTGTATATGTGTATGTTCAAGGGTATAGTTGTTGATACTGTTGCTGTCATTTTCGTTCCCAACTGTACATTGCTGACGATGACAAATTCAATATCAATATGAGCGATGGAGATGACAATCGCTCGCCTTGGGTAGCATAGCTTTTCTCTTGCGTCTCTTCGCCAATAGATTTGGAAGCGCATGCGCTGGAACACTTTAGCCAGCCGCTGCTCCCGCAACGCTCTTCGAGACGTTCGAGGTCGAGTAATATGCCGCTCTGGCATCGTCAACCCTTCGCCTAGTCGATGAAAAATACTTGTGTAGGTATACCTACATACATACTATTTATTCGAATAGCGATTTAGCTGTGGGCATGAGAATCCAATTTGCTGTGGTGGTATCGGTGGAATACATTTCTTTCATTTTCTTCAACTAGAGTTAGCAGATCGGATGATTAAATATGTTATCGGGGTGGGAAACTTTTAGAAGTGACGATTTTGAAATGCTCCATGCCACTTCATTCCCTATTACATACAGCTACATACCTATATGTATGTACATATGTATGTATGTACTACATGCTATTAGGTTAGAGTGGCTGCTACCGTGCAAGAGTAAAGAGGCGCATATGGGCTCGTTAGCGGTTAACCCCAGTCTTTAATCTGTGATTCCAGTATATTTCCGTCCCAGGTAGCATTTAGATGCCAGCCTGTGGATAACATTTCTGCATTCAATGGATACTTAGGACGTTGAATACAGTACCCGTGCGCTTGGTGCCGGGCCACTTTGGGATCGAAAGCCACGAGGTCGCTGTGGCGAGAAGGACCCTAAACTGCCTTCATGGGACCGGAACATTGTGTGGTCTTAATTGGTCGTCTTCGAGATAATAATTACTGGTGGTGGGTACACACTGAGCGCAGTAAGTACTGCGAGCCGGTGGGGGTCATAGACGCATGCTACTGACCAGGTTAGAGGTTGTTTGTCTCTAAGCCTTCTTTCTTCAAGGTAGGCAGCGGTAAAAAAGAAGCCAGGCAAGGAGCGAGACTTAGGACCCGAACTTGGGAGCCTTACCATCGGCAAGGCTTCCGATGACGACGATTAATTGTCACAGGCAAGCAAAGTGGATGATACCGGGGTACCTATTTCACGTCTGTGGCAGCCAGCCAGAAGAAGATGACAAAGAAAAAGCTAAGCCGATCTCTTTAAAAAGATTTAAAAAGTAAATTAACGTCCGTAACGAAGAGGAACAAAGTGACTTTGACCCCTTACACTACGAGGACCGAGAGTGACATGCTGGTCGCGATGGAACAGACGTCACTCGACAACATTCAAATTAAATTTGGGTGACATGCCAAAAGCCACAAGAGAGGAAGCTAGCGGTGGTGCAAACTAATCACTCCACTTCGGCCTCTCTCGGATTGATGAAGTTCATCCTGGACAAAGGCTTGTACAAGGTAGGCGCACTAGGCTAGGGATGGGCGGCTACCGTTTGTTCACTCCAACGAAGAAGGTAAGATAGGTCCTGTATACTGGCTAGAAAGAGCTTTAATATTAAATTTCTTTTCACCTCATACAGCGCTGGCGACCTCATAGCGTTGGTATGTGAGCACAGGTGTTCGCCAACTGGTGTCACCCGCCCGGTCCAGTGCACTGGATTTGGTCATTGGCTGCGATGCGAATGAACTTAACTAACTCCAACTCAACTTAACTTAGTTTAGCAATTTTTTGGACTTAGGACAAAATTTAACCTACTTATTCTTGACTAAGTCCAAAAGTCCAGCCCTATGAGATTTGGGCATTCCGTTTACAAGCTGCGCTCAGATTAAAGGGGGACTGGTGTGCTGCAAAGGGATTGTCATTACACCCTCTGAAGTCAACCATTGTCCCATTCACCAAAAAATTTAAAGCCAACTTGACTAGGCCCACCTTAGCAGGGAACGAAATTAAGTTCCCAAAAGAGGCGAAGTATCTAGGTGTAACTCTGACCAAAAGAATCAATTGGAACTCACATCTTTCGAATGTTACCAGCAAGACTACAAGGGAATTTTATCCCTGTCCGATACTTCATGGTAAAAAAATTGGGGAATATCACCCAAACTAACTTATTGGTCTTTTAATACGGTTGCGTGGGTGCCACCCTGAGAAAACTACTCCGCTTGGTCTGCGTGGCCATCATTTATGTATAATTGAAAGAAGGCCTGGTGGAGCGCAAATGTAATCAGCTTGAAAATTAGGATTTTTTGGGGTCACTTGGAGGAGTTCAAGCCATTTCTGGAGGATACCGCTTTCAAGTTCACAGACATAATGCTACCGACATTATCCTTGGAAAAGCCCTACAAGGTGCGAATTTTTGCAAGGGACTGCTGTGAAGTGATAATATCTATGATTGACAAAGGGAGCTAAGTAGGATATGTATACCGACGGATCTTCAGATGAACGATGGAAGTACTGGCGCAGGACTACTTAAACCAAGATTCCAGAAAACTCCGCCAATGGGCACATATCCAACTAGTCTTCGCCAGCGAAGCATGTGTTCAAGAGGGAC